GCATTAATTAAAAAGAAAATAAACATCTCATAGTAAATTAAGGCAGATCACAGACTGGTCTATTTTTAGAATATTTTATTCCTGCAGAAACAAACAGTGGTGTGTTCAGGTAGGTTTTCCACAAATGACAATCAGTAAAACATAATCATTAGCTGCTCCCCTAATTCAGGTTTTGTCAGTATAAGTATTTTCACTTCAAAACTACAGTTATAAAATAACTCTTTAGTGTTGATAAGAATCTCCAATACTTGCTTTGTTGTCAGCCAGGTTTTGGTTTTCTTACAATCTTCACAAGTCAGTCTGTCAATGTATTTGTTTGTTTTTCCTCTTCTTTTTTCCCCCAAGTCATAGTTTTGGCTTTTTAAGTGCTTTTCTAACATTGATGTGATCCAACTTTCATATCTTTATTTGCCATCTCTGTCAAAAACAGGGCAACATCTGTTATTTGCTTTCTATCATACTAAAGGATAGAATTCTTAAACATTGTTTGTTGAGACTGCAAATATTTTAGATAATTCAGATGATATGGAATCATGATAATTCGATTTTTCTTCCAGAGAAAAGCTTCATTTATTTGTTTGTAATATCGCAAAATCTTGTGAAATAAGATCTTGATGTGTCCCAAATATTATAGTGATTTAAGCATTGAATGTTTTTGTTTTATAATTTTATAGAATTTTCGTTGCAAGGAAGACCAAATCATCAAAATAAACACACTCTATGTAGACGATATAATGATATATCATGAGAAAATTACAACAAAAGGATTCCCTAAAGCTGTTATATGCTCTTGTTAATTTTAATTCCTGTTTTCTTTACTGTTTTTATGGCAAACATCCATTTTCCTCTGAAATTATTATTTTGTTTTTACTTTTTTTTTTTTTCATTTCGACTATTCGACTAACACCAAGTGTAGTCAGAGTTTTATTTTAAAGAACATACCAAATATCAGTTGTTGTTCACACGGGTTACGAGTTACCCTGGTTCAGATCCTAGTTGCTACAAGAAGAGTGCAGCGATAAGGACACAACTAAGATATTAGATTTTAGTTGGTTAGTTCAGTACGTTTACCAAATAAAAGACAAGATGCAGTTAAGAGAAGACTAAGTGTTTTTTTGTTTTGTTTTAGGTGAGATTACAGTAAAACGTAATGGCTAAGATCACAATGAGGCAAGCACTGCCTCACAGATTGATACTTTACAGCTAAATACAGTGTTTATATAAAATAACATTTTTGGCTGATGAGCTTTGAGTACCAGTTAAAGTAAATTCTAAAAACTGATTCTAATCCATGTAAGTGAGAAGAAAAATGACCCAAATCTGGCAGCAGGATAGTGTCTGCATCAGGCTGTCTGTAAAGTTTTTGAACTCAAAAGAAAGTCAGAGTCTTAAAGCTGATCTCTCAGAGCTTTGACCTAAATCCCGTCAAACTCTTGTTGATAAACCAAGAGCTCTGCTGGCAGAAACATGGAGGAAACCTCCACCACAGCTGCAAAATGCACCGATTCCAGACGCAGATAATACCAAGCGTGTCTGCAGACTAAATGAAACCTTAAACACTGTATATGTGAACTTCAGAGTTTGGTTTCCAGACTTTTTTTTTTCTTCAGCAGATGGATTTTAATCTCCAGGTGTGCATCCTATGCTAAGCCAGCAACTTCACACTTAAGACACCATAGAAATATTTTATAAAAGTAACAGTTTCACTCTAGTGCACTACGCCATACAATGTTTTTTTTTCTAAATCAATTTCTTCTTATCAATCCATTTTGTATTTAGTTTAGTCAAAATAAAGACTTCAATGTTTTTTAAAGGTTCTTATTTTGTCTTTTTTATTTAAGAACTCTATTTTCCTGCAGTTTTAAGTCCATTCTTCCAGTATCAGATCAGAAAACGTCATTTAAACATATTCTCATTAATTGCAATGCAACTCAATCTTTGTATGTTGCTAACTAACTCATAATAATGATACTTTCTGTTTTGCAAATGCAGTTTTTAATTTGAGGTGTGACGCTTGGGTTGTGCATCATTTTCATTGAGCATTAAAGTAAATGCTACCTTCAGGATTTCTCTGAATCATTCGGGACTCTTCTAAGAAAAACTTGCATTAAATAGCGGTAGGAAACACATGATCAAGGTCATTGTGTTCTCCATGTTTTCTACTAACTTGGAACTTAGCATCTGCTTCCTGTATTTACATTTGATTCTTCCCCAGACCCATCTGACCAATAAACCAACGTTCTGGCAGGATTTGTAGCGACAGCTTTAGGTTCGCTTTAAGGCTGAATCACCTGAAAAAGTAATGATTATCAAAACTCATCAAAGGATTTAGGCCAAAGTTAACAGACGATTAGTGAAAAACATGCTTAGAAAGTGTTAAAATTGGAACACTTTGATGAAAACCCCTGCAGCATGAATTGTTTGGGAAATGAGTACCAGTCCTCAGAGATAAGTGTGTGTTTTCACTTCCTGTTATCTTTAACTGTCACACTCATTTCCTTCTGTGTTTTTATGGACTTTTCTGTGTGGCCATATCTGCTGAAAAAGCTCACATGGGGGGGGACAAGTTGGAGGTCATGAGATTGAGATTAAACACTTTTAGGTTTGAAAAGTTTGCAGAATTTTAATTTTTTTATTTAAAAAAATATCAAAACATGCAGATTACCCATATCTTTGTTTTACGATCAAGTGTGAAATGTTGTGTAGCTTGTGGAGAAATAAGACCAGAAGAAGATGCAGATCAAAAAATGCATGAGCTGACTGGCAAAGTTTAGTAATGTTGCTTTGAGGCAGTTCTAGCCTCAGGTCTTTCTTCAGGGACTTTCCATCTTCTTCCACTGCATGTGTGGGGGTTTTCTCTCCAGGTGTTCTAGTTTCCTCACAAAATCCAAAAAGATGACTATAAGGCTAACTGGTCTCACCTGACAAGGTTTAAAAACAAAGAAACATTAGAGGTGAAAAAAATCAAAGGGCTTGGATAAACACTAGGTTTGTCTGTGGAAGGGCTTAAGCAGCTGAAGAT